CACTTCTTATAATTCTTCATAGCTTTTTCTTTGTCTTCTTCTTGATCATCTTCATCATCATCTTCTTCTCCTTCTCCTTCTTCTTCTTTTTCTTCTTCTTCTTTTTTTTCTTCTTCTTCTTCTTCTTCTTCTTCTTCTTCTTCTTCTTCTTTTGCTTCTGTGTCACCTTTTTCTTGTTCTTGCCAGATAGCATATGAATTGTTTTTATTGATGCTAAAAAAAAACATGACAGCTACTGCTGTAATGAAATGTACTGAAAATACTGTGATCATAATTACATGTATATTAGGATTATATATTGTTGTCCTCGTTAATGTATGCCAGCGCTATACTGACCACATCACACACCAAGTGTCGATTGGTCCATAAAATGAAGATCTAGCGCTAAATGCCCCATTTGCCTGAAGGTGTGGAAACGGTCCTTTACTTTGCAGTTACGTGTACATTAGTCATAAATAGAAAATAATGTCATCATATGTAAATATGTAGTAGTCAGTAAATATAAAATAATGTAATCATATGTTAATATGTAGTAGTCAGTAAATATAAAATAATGTAATCATGTGTAAATATGTAGTAGTCAGTAAATATAAAATAATGTAATCATATGTAAATATGTAGTAGTCAGTAAATATAAAATAATGTAATCATATGTAAATATGTAGTAGTCAGTAAATATAAAATAATGTAATCATATGTAACTATGTAGTAGTCAGTAAATATAAAATAATGTAATCATATGTAAATGGATTTCCGGTTTGTGTCAAGATGGCGGGACGTGTTTCTCTCTAGCTCGGCGCATATCGGTTGATCGACGGTCCGACAAGCTGTCATCGCAAAACCACCAATTGTTATAGAATCAGATTTCTGACTCTAACTGCACGATGATTCGTTCTAATCTGTTAAATTCCAAGGACATCTTTAAAATTGGTTACTGGAATGTTAGAACCATGTAGTGTAAGAACTGATTCCGGCAATTCTGACTGGTTCCCGGTGGAAACAGGAGTGAAGCAAGGCTGTGTCCTATCGCCGATGCTTTTTGGTATAGCAATCGACTGGGTCATGCGCAAGTGCATAAATAACGCAAATTTAGGCATTACATGGGTTGACAAAATTCTGGAAGACCTAGACTTCGCTGACGACATAGCACTCCTGAGTTCAGAACACACAGACGCCCAAGAAAAAATCAATCGACTCCAGAATTTCTCAGAACAAATTGGACTCCAAATTAACACCGCAAAAACAAAAATTCTAGACCTTACCAACAGTTCAGTTGATATCACGCTGAACAACAACAGCCTTGAAAAAGTCAACAGTTTCACTTATCTAGGGAGCAAGATGTCATCTACAGGAGATACCGCACCAGAAATATCATTTAGAATAGCACTGGCATCTAGTGCCTTCAATAAACTGTCTAACATCTGGAAATCAAAGACACTTAGCAAACACACAAAACTCAAGATCTTCAATTCTTGTGTGATTCCAGTACTAACCTATGGATGCGAGAGTTGGAAATCAACGAAAACTCTAGACACAAAATTAGACAGTTTTGAAAATAAATGCCTTAGAAGAATACTAAATTTCAAATGGTCAGATTTCCGAACCAATACACAAATAAGGCAAGAATCCAGGCAAGAGTATGTGTCTAATTTTATACGAAAACGCCGCTGGAACTATGTCGGCCACGTCCTTAGAATGGATAAATCAAGACTTCCTTACCAAGCCCTCATTTGGACACCACAGGGGAAAAGATCTCGTGGAAGACCAAGGGAAACCCTACGTAGAACTATCATCAGGGAAGGCTCGCTCATGGGCCACTCAAACATCCAAGACCTACAACGGATTGCAACGGACCGCCGTGCATGGAGAGTCACGACCTCTGCCCTATGTGCCGCACTCGACACAAGAGGAAAGACTAACTAATATGTAAATATGTAGTAGTCAGTAAATATAAAATAATGTAATCATATGTAAATATGTAGTAGTCAGTAAATATAAAATAATGTAATCATATGTAAATATGTAGTAGTCAGTAAATATAAAATAATGTAATCATATGTTAATATGTAGTAGTCAGTAAATATAAAATAATGTAATCATATGTAAATATGTAGTAGTCAGTAAATATAAAATAATGTAATCATGTGTAAATATGTAGGAGTCAGTAAATATAAAATTACCTCTAAATCATTGTAAAATTATATTGGTCAATAAATATACTGGGGAAGGAGAGTGCAGTTTCCGAAAAGCGAGGCAGAGGCTGACCTCCGCACAGTGGATACCGGACATTGAAGGTACCCTGGGAATGAAGTCACACAGGGCCGGAGAAATGGCTAGAGGTGGATATATCTTCAGACATACCTTCTGTAAAGGACCTACAGATTGATGATGATGAAATTCAACATTTCAATGAGGAGATTGAAGACTATAAATGTAGCCAATTTATTATTATAATTTATTTGTTGATTGTCCTATTGTGCCCTAATTATGTCACATAGGGCTCGCAAACTCTTATCTTCCATTCCATTCTAACTTGTGCAGTCACTTCAGTATCATGGATGGAATCCAGGCTAGCACCTTTGGCCTCTCTCATCGACATTTATCTTAGGGTTTCTTTTTTTGATGTTCACTGTATTTGAATATATTTCTTTTGGATATTTATTATATACATCACCTTATAAATTATTAGTGTTCCATTGCACTGTCTTTTATATTATTTCAGATATTGGTTGAGTTATGAATATTACATTATGAATATATCCAGCACAGTGGTAGCTAAGTAAACTTCAGGGATTTTATATTAGATTATATTGTAATGTAGCATTACAAATTAAATATTTATGGCAGTAAATTTTAATGTAGCATTACAAATTAAATATGTATGGCAGTAAATTTTAATGTAGCATTACAAATTAAATATGTATGGCAGTAAATTTTAATGTAGCATTACAAATTAAATATGTATGGCAGTAAATTTTAATGTAGCATTACAAATTAAATATGTATGGCAGTAAATTTTAATGTAGCATTACAAATTAAATATGTATGGCAGTAAATTTTAATGTAGCATTACAAATTAAATATGTATGGCAGTAAATTTTAATGTAGCATTACAAATTAAATATGTATGGCAGTAAATTTTAATGTAGCATTACAAATTAAATATGTATGGCAGTAAATTTTAATGTAGCATTACAAATTAAATATGTATGGCAGTAAATTTTAATGTAGCATTACAAATTAAATATTTATGGCAGTAAATTTTAATGTAGCATTACAAATTAAATATTTATGGCAGTAAATTTTAATGTAGCATTACAAATTAAATATTTATGGCAGTAAATTTATGATTGTTTAATTTAGAATGGTTGTAATAGTAAATAATTAATAGTAAATGTTCCTTTACCCCGCCTTTAGGCGTGTAGGGCTAGACCTATATTTTATAGACCAATCGGCACAAAAAAGGGGGAAGTGGTCAGCATCACGCTGGCTGCCTTTTCTTCCTGGGACTGCACCCGGTACCCACTCAAGGCTGAGAGTCAAGGTCATTTTTTAAAACAGTCCGGCTCCGCCAGTGAGCAAACCCACGACCTACCGATCTGCACGCGAGGGTCTAGCCGCTACGCCGCGGCGACTCTATAAAATGGTTTCAAAATTAATTAATGTCAGGTGACAGCATTTGAGTGTTGTATGTTGTGTTATTTGCAGAAACGTAGAAATTAAATAGATAATGTGGGGATAACAGTGAATATTTTCAAATGTGATTACTTAGATTAGAAGGATGGCGTACCATGGCTAGAGAGCTAACAGGGAAGGAAGCTTCAAATAAACTGGGATTGAAACATTTGCTGAATGAGATTACGGTTATTTTACCATTATAATTAAGACCAGAAGAGTGGGCTGTTTCATATAATTTTTTATTTTATCGAAAGTACATGCAGATTTTAAGACGTTTGGTACTTTTGACTTGAAGTTCATTCTATTGTCATAATGTTTGGTACTTTTGAGCAGGGACTACATGCTTTTTCCACATACATTTTTAGTCATTGTTTGTTTTTCCACATACATTTTTAGTCATTGTTTGTTTTTCCACATACATTTTTAGTCATTGTTTGTTTATAAGTTCTTGCTCTTTCGCATGCCATTACTATTATTGTTGACCTTTATTGCCAGCTGTTTTGCATGACTTTTGTTATTTGTCACCAGAAATATAAACCAATATCAGCTTCAGTATCCTGAGGTTCAGTATTTTGATCTTCAGTATCTTGAGCTTCAGTATCTTGAGCTTCAGTATCTTGAGCTTCAGTTTCTTGAGCTTCAGTATCTTGAGGTTCAGTATCTTGAGCTTCAGCATCTTGAGCTTCAGTATCTTGAGCTTCAGTATCTTGAGCTTCAGTATCTTGAGCTTCAGTATCTTGAGCTTCGGTATCTTGAGCTTCGGTATCTTGAGCTTCAGTATCTTGAGCTTCAGTATCTTGAGCTTCAGTATCTTGAGCTTCGGTATCTTGAGGTTCAGTATCTTGAGGTTCAGTATCTTGAGGTTCAGTATCTTGAGGTTCGGTATCTTGAGCTTCGGTATCTTGAGGTTCAGTATCTTGAGCTTCGGTATCTTGAGCTTCAGTATCTTGAGCTTCAGCATCTTGAGCTTTAATATTGTGAGCTTCGGTATCTTGAGCTTCAGTATCTTGAGGTTCGGTATCTTGAGATTTGCTGAAAAGTTTAATCTGAGATATATACAAACGATTTATTGGTGTTCATCAGGGCTTTTTTCCCCTGGCGGTACTTACCGTGCGCAGTACTTGCACCTTTTTTAAAAACTTTTTTTTCCAGCTTTCCATATTAGACACTTTGTGGTGAGTATCACCACCTTGTATTCGACACTTCATGTTGACTACCGGCACCTTTTTTTCCTAGAAAAAGCCCTGGTGTTCATACTGTTTGAGCTGCTTTAGTAAAAACATTGCATTTTTATTTAAATATTTTGTCTTTCTCTCGTGTAGAGGGAGGAGCTTATTGCAAGCAATGAGAAGAGAAAGAATCAGGAGGAATTAATTCAGGGTAGGTGTGGACACTTGAATTTGCTAATCATGTTTCAAGAGTTTAACAAATGGCCTTATACTGTTCATTTTTTGCCAGCCATTGTCCTTGTTTGTCCATCCATTGTCTGTCTGTGTCTATTCATTACCCATGTATGATTGTCCATTGTCCAGCCAGTGTCCACATCTATCTGTCCATTGTGTGTGTATATCATTGTCCATATACATCCACCAATTGTCCATATATGACCATTCTTATTATGCTCATCCATTATCACTAGATGACCATCTATTGTCCATGTATTTCCAGCCACTGTTCATATGTTTCCATGAATGTCCATCCATTATCCGCATATATATCCAACCATAGTCCATATATACATTCATCCATTGTCCTCCGTACTTGTCCAATCATCATCCATTCTTTGCCCATATATCTATGTATGTACACACACGCACAACCATTGTCCATGAATATTGTATCCATCAGTTGTCCGTGTATGTCTATCCATTGTCCATGTATGTCCATCCATTGTTAATCTCTTAGACTATGATTTAACAGAATTTCATCTTGCCTGCTCTCAGATCTGACAAACAGACTCAAACAGGCTGATGATGACCGCAGACAATTGGTAGAACAGCTGCAGAATGCTAGCTCAAACATTGGAGGTAAACTGTCCATTTGCAACTCTTTTCATTTCAATTGTTATTTCTCTTGTTTTGAATTCTGTCTTTAGAATACAACAGACATAACAACAAGAAAGTATAACATGAAAATCTGGGAACTGATATCTGTCTTGCTTTCGTACACAGATGTGATAATAAAATGTAGATTAGAGGATATGTGTGGTAATAAATACATCGTTTCAGAGGTCTTCCGTAGTTAGCGTCCTTTGGATCTTTTCTCGAGGTCGTGAAGGTGTGTTGATAAACAGATAGGCACATGGAGTGGCTAGTTCTGCAACACTGAGTGGTGAATTGATGAATGACAAACTAGATGGCATCAGGGCCCTTTGGAAGCAAGTGAACAATGCGGAGATGCAAATAGATAATACAGTGTGGTGAGAATGGTGCAACTGGAAGTGACTAGGGGATCTACACTCAACACTAGGGGATCTACACTCAACACTAGGGGATCTACACTCAACACTAGGGGATGTGCACTCAACACTAGGGGATCTGCACTCAACACTAGGGAATCTACACTCAACACTAGGGGATCTGCACTCAACACTTAGAGAAAAGAGAAGAAGGACATATAATCTAACTGCTTCTGGTACCTTTGGCATTGGAACTCTTTGCTGGCTCAATGAAGCCGAGGACGGTGCACTTATGAGATTGTTTTGAGTGCTGTATTGTCAGTTCTTAGCTCAACTGAACACACACATAAATACAGAATAACAGGTTGATAATAAATACATAACAAAGAAGTGAGTGGCTGAAGAATCCTGTCCATCTCAAATATTGGGAGATGTATCTTTGGTCAAAGAGTGGACAGGTCTCAGTATTCCTGCTTCTAATTGCCTGAGAATAGCCAGTAATGGAGGACTCCTAAGTCAAGATAATTTTTTTCATCCTACTTCTGTGGGGAGCCACAGCAGCACAATGGCCTGACATTTGCATGCCAGCATGGAGGTCTAGAATTCAAACCCTGCATTGAGTCTGATGTTTTATAGTTGACCTCGGCTAGTAGGTTGACTCAACTCACAATGGGAACCAGGAAATATTGTAGGAAGTCAAAGATGATGACATCAGCCGTCAAGTTCTGATTGGTCGGCAGTGTCTAGAATCATATACCTGAGGAATCACTTTTGCAGGAAGGGTTTTTGACATTTACTTGACTCACTTCAAAAGGTTAAAGGTTACTCCCCAACTTGATTCACTTCAAAAGGTTAAAGGTTACTCTCCAACTTGACTCACTTCAAAAGGTTAAAGGTTACTCCAGTGACCCACAAAGTTACCAAAGCTGTTTTCAGACTATCATGTGGTGTTGGAAGTCATGTCTACACTTTCTTTCTCATATATTTTCAATCAGTTTTGACACAGATGAACTTCCATATCATGTTGTCAGACTGCCCAGCATCTTCTCTCTCTGTCTCCCTCTTTGTCTTTCCCCTGCATCTTTCCCACTGTCACAGTGTACTGTAGTCTTCTCCTTATCATGACATGATCAGAGAATGTAGTGTGTCCCCCTTCTGTGTAATCACTGTTGTTATATTTCCTCTGTTAGATCTTCAGAGGCAACTGGCATCCAGCAAAGAGAAAGCTGAGCAGTTGGCAGTAGAAAGAAACAGGCTGGTATGTTTTTGTTGTTCTTTGAGTATAATATGTGTGTCTGTCTTTGCTTCTCTCTGTCTCTCTTTTTGTCTATCTGCATTTCTGTATTATTTCTTTGTTCATTTTCTTTCGCTGTATGACATCTCTTCATTTTATATATACTGTTATAAAAACATAACATACTTTACAGATACAATACAATTGCTGTTTGAAAGATGAGTGTTTGGAAGGATTGTATGTAAGACAGGCCTGCCTGCCCAATTTGTGACCCCTTAAAAAATACAATGTTTCCTCGTTTATTCTTTATTTTTATTACTATTTCTTCTCTTCTTTTTTTTTTTCTGTCCCTCTTTTCTCACTCTCTCTTTTCTCAGTTTCTTTTTCTCACAGTCTGTGTCATTATTGTCTCTCTCTTTCTGTGTGTGTGTGTGTGTTTCTGTCTGTCATTTTGGCTTCCCAGAAGATCTTCAGTCTCTCCCTGCCCATCAGTCACATCATCTGTCTGTGGCTGTCCTCTGTCAGACTGAGCTTTAACTCCTTAAGCATGATGCATTTTCATTTATGTTACTGAAGCCCAAAATGGGCTTTTGTCTATCAAAGTAGCGTCGATACAGAGACCTGATCCCAAAGCTCTGCCCAGACAGACTCTTGTCCCTCTCCAAGTCCAAAAGCCAGCAGTGTGGAAATCAGTGGTTCTGGAACTTCACACCTGTAGAGTGACATATCAGGTGTAGCCACATTCAGTACAGCACATATCAAGTGGCAGTGATTATTTGTCCCTCTACCACTACAAGATCAGAGACAAGTATGTTGCCCTAGAACCTCAAGCTGGTTTTAAAGTCCCCATGTCTGAGTGAAGCAGAATCACACAGCACACCTGTAAGCTTATTTCTTCCCTTAACTAACAGTGTTGTTCTAATGATTAGCTAACATCCTGATATGCTTTTTGAATTCCTTTCCCATGAGGGTTCTGGGTCAAATATTCTGGGGAGTGGGGTGGGTGGGGGGGGGGGGGGGATAACCCACTGCCCCTAAACAGGCATGTTGTAAAAGGGGAATAATTAGGGGTGTTTCCTTTGTAGTCGAAGTGGGTCTGTCTGAGAGGCGGAGAACCAACAGTCTGTGTACTAACAAACAAACAAGTCTGTAAAATGGATGTGCACACAAAACTCATGTTCTGGAACAAGACTAAAGTCCAGAGTCTGACAAGCAAGCAGGACTTTCAGCCGGAGTTGACAGCCAATGAATGCTTAAAGGAAACAATTGTATTCTGTCTTCATTGTGATATGATAATTTTTATTTTATTAGTTAGTTGCCTGTAGTTCCCTTGGTTTAATTGTTGATAATTTTAAATGCCACAGGAAGTGCAGTTATCAGAGCTGATGAAAAATTCTGGAGACAGCTCCAGCCAGCTAGCCCAGCTGAATGACCAACTCACCGAGAGGAGCAGGTTAGTTATTGCTTTTCCTCTCCACGTGTTTATCAACAGATCTTTACCATTATTATCAGTTGTCATTACCATTCCTTTGTCATTCTTATATGTTTTTTTTTTTTGGTGTTTTTTTTACATCTTCTGAAATGCAACTTTACATCAGCCTCTCCTGCTGGTAATCTCTGTCATGCAACTTTACTTCGTCCTCTCCTGCTGGTAATCTCTGTCATGCAACTTTACTTCAGCCTCTCCTGCTGGTAATCTCTGTCATACAACTTTACTTCAGCCTCTCCTGCTGGTAATCTCTGTCATACAACTTTACTTCAGCCTCTCCTGCTGGTAATCTCTGTCATACAACTTTACTTCAGCCTCTCCTGCTGGTAATCTCTGTCATACAACTTTACTTCAGCCTCTCCTGCTGGTAATCTCTGTCATACAACTTTACTTCAGCCTCTCCTGCTGGTAATCTCTGTCATTCAACTTTACTTCAGCCTCTCCTGCTGGTAATCTCTGTCATACAACTTTACTTCAGCCTCTCCTGCTGGTAATCTCTGTCATACAACTTTACTTCAGCCTCTCCTGCTGGTAATCTCTGTCATACAACTTTACTTCAGCCTCTCCTGCTGGTAATCTCTGTCATTCAACTTTACTTCAGCCTCTCCTGCTGGTAATCTCTGTCATACAACTTTACTTCAGCCTCTCCTGCTGGTAATCTCTGTCATACAACTTTACTTCAGCCTCTCCTGCTGGTAATCTCTGTCATTCAACTTTACTTCAGCCTCTCCTGCTGGTAATCTCTGTCATACAACTTTACTTCAGCCTCTCCTGCTGGTAATCTCTGTCATTCAACTTTACTTCAGCCTCTCCTGCTGGTAATCTCTGTCATACAACTTTACTTCAGCCTCTCCTGCTGGTAATCTCTGTCATACAACTTTACTTCAGCCTCTCCTGCTGGTAATCTCTGTCATTCAACTTTACTTCAGCCTCTCCTGCTGGTAATCTCTGTCATACAACTTTACTTCAGCCTCTCCTGCTGGTAATCTCTGTCATTCAACTTTACTTCAGCCTCTCCTGCTGGTAATCTCTGTCATACAACTTTACTTCAGCCTCTCCTGCTGGTAATCTCTGTCATTCAACTTTACTTCAGCCTCTCCTGCTGGTAATCTCTGTCATACAACTTTACTTCAGCCTCTCCTGCTGGTAATCTCTGTCATACAACTTTACTTCAGCCTCTCCTGCTGGTAATCTCTGTCATGCAGCTTTCATGTTGTGTTTCTTCCAGTATATTCAGTTTCAATTAACATACGTTCTCTGATATCTAAGCACATTTTGGGTCATTTATAATTCATTTTTTCTTTTCTATTCTCTTGATCTTATCTTGTTTTTCAAAGATAGTTCTTTGTGTGTGTGTGTGTGTGTGTGCTAATTTCATCAGTCTGTTCTGTTTTCCCATGTCAGTGCTGTGTCATCTGCATAATACAGATTGCTAATATTATAAACACTGACAAGTGTATGTTTGACTGCACATATATGTCCGTCTCTGCCTTATTAGCAATAGTAAACCAGTATTATGTTCCAGACTTTTGTCCTATGCTTATTCTGTTACATTTATGTTCTGTAGGAAAATCCAGGATCTGCAAAATGACCTATCCAACTATTCTCAAAACCTGGCAAAAGCAGAAGAGTCCTACCAAAAACTGAAACAAGACAAGGACAGGGAGCACCAAGAGACTGTGAAACAGTATGATGAAAAAATCCTTCAGTTCACTGATCAGATCCAGGAATTGGTAAGGAGGGTTGATTACAGAAGCTTTGTGACTTTTTCAGCTTCTGTGTTTTTCTTCTAGTAAATACTATTTGTGGCATTGCTAGTAGTAATTGTCTGCTGCCTTCTTTCTCATGTTCTGATGATCTTTCATGCATTTATTTTTCCTGTTAGTCTCCCTCTACTCCAGCTTTACCCTTCTGACAACATCAGTATTCTTCTTGAGTTCATTTCTGTCAAGACATCTTTATGACAGACTCCAGCTAGAATAGGTTGATAGCCTCCACAAGTCGTGCCTCAAGAAACTGTCTTGGTTCTCTACAAAGCAGGACACACTGGAAATGAAACAACTGACAGACTGGTCGTGTCTGCAGTAGCTAGTATAGGAAGGATTATGGACGGCACACTGGGAATGAAAGAACTGACAGACTTGTCGTGTCTGCAGTAGCTAGTATAGGAAGGATTATGGACTGGGCAGACACACTGGGAATGAAAGGACTGACTGACTGCTCGTGTCTGCAGTAGCTAGTAGAGGAAGGATTATGGACTGGGCAGACAGACTGGGAATGAAAGGACTGACAGACTGCTCGTGTCTGCAGTAGCTTGTAGAGGAAGGATTATGGACTGGGCAGACACACTGGGAATGAAAGGACTGACAGACTGGTCATGTCTGCAGTAGCTAGTAGAGGAAGGATTATGGACTGGGCAGACAGACTAGGAATGAAAGGACTGACAGACTGGTCGTGTCTGCAGTAGCTAGTAGAGGAAGGATTATGGACTAGGTACCAGGTACAGTCCTGGAAAGCATAGGCGGCCAGCGTGATGCTGACCACATCATCCACTAAGTGCCGATTGGTCTCTAAAATATCGGTCTAGCCTTATATGCCCAATACGCCTGAAGGTGGGGAAAAAGGTCCTTGACTTTTTACTGTAGATGGGTGAAGCAGATCACTTTGCAATGATCTTGACAACGGTATATAGTACCATCAGTTGAGAAAGCAGGGCAAACTACTGAAGGTCAAGTTGCTGAGGAAAACCACAAACAGCCCAAAAAATGCTGATGTTGGTTCTGCAACGTCCTGTAAAGAATACACACATAAATATAGACATGTATATTTTGTCAGTTTATACAGATTTCTGTAATTATACAGACATAAATATTTTCTAGATTTGTACAGACCTGTGGGATATTTTCTGTGACTGTTTTTTTCTCTTTGTTAACACTTGTGTGTGTGTTTTCTATCCATCAGACAGCGGCACTGGAAAAGCAGAAAGCAAAAAGCATTCAGTTGTCAGAAAATTTTGAATCTGAAAAGAAAAAAGTCTTTGAACAAAAGGAGATGCAGATCCGTGAACTGCAGCAGCAGCTGTCTCAAGCAAACAGTGAACTCAGCAAACAGCAAGATACAGTCACTGCTCACAAACAGCTGTTTGAGAAACTCACCCTGGAGAAGGAAGAATTACAGGTGAGGGGAACAGTTCCATTGCTAGTTCTTTAACATATTATATGTTACTCCTGTGGCCCTGTAAATGCCAGTTTTGCAGTTTTTTGTGTGTCTTTGGGCAGTCATCACTTTGCCTGTATAAAAGCTTCAGTACTGTTTGCAGATGCGTAGTGTCTAGATAGGCCAAGTTTGGTTATATTTAAGAAGATTGAAATATAGCATTTGATGGATCTCTTTGGGTCAAAAAATGCCATTGGATGTTGTTTTGTTTCACGTGGCAGCAACAGCAACAAATAAAAATGGAATGAATGCAGTTGATTCTCAGCTCTGTTTGTATTTATTGAATATTTTCTCTAATGTATTGCCATGCCAGTATAGAAATTTGTTGTTGGAGAAGAAAAAATCAATAAGTGAAAGAAACTGAGCAGAGATGGTCAGCAGCAAATGGAGACACAACAACATGCAGTATTATGATTCTTATATGTGTTGTGTTTCTACATGTTGTTGTGTTTCTACATGTTGTTGTGTTTCTACATGTTGGTATATTTCTATTTCAGTTTGAGAAACAGCAGATGGAGAAGCAGTTGAAGCGGGTGGATGAAGAAAAATGTAGCATTAACTCCGAGCTTGTACAGGTCAGGGGGGAGCTCACCAAATACCAGGAGGAGGTGGGGAGATCTCAGGGGACACAGTCGGAGCTGCAGGACAAACTGGAGAGACTGACACTGCAGATTGAGTATGTCTCCAAAGCTAAAGATGAGGTCAGTAACTGTCTTTTAGATTCCATTGCACATACTACCCTCTTCATAGATGGGGAGGATTCTGTGTGGCTTCTTCTTGTAGTCTAGGCCGTGTGGTATTGGTAGTCTCTTTTCTAGTGGAACTTTCTTGACATAATGTTGTACTTTCAGATTCCATTGCACATACTGCCATTGTCAAAGATAAGGAGGATTCTGTGTGGCTTCTTCTTGTAGCCCTGGCCATGTGGTATCGGTAGTCTCTTTTCCAGTGGAACTTTCTTGATATGATGATGTACTCTCTCCTCATAGCATGAATTGTCTATTAAATAAATGAGATTATTGAGTGTGGAGGCCACATATACTTCCAGACTGTTGTGCATTGATATCTGACTCAAAGCGGATGGGTACGGAGTTTTACAATTCAGTGTAGTGGAATGTGTCAGTAACAGATGTGTATGGCCACACTGCAAGTCCAGTTGATGATTGCCCTCAGCAACTTGAACTCACTTCCCTTACTTCAAGTAGTTCATGTGGCTCATGTGCACACCATGACAGTCACATGTTTAGCTCTTTTGCTGGCAGTCCTACATTCACCCACCCCCACCCATACCATGACCATGATGACATCAGCAAAGCAACTTAGTGTTGCAGTCAGTGATGTATCCGTGTAACTTGGCCTGTGATAACTTGGAGCCTAGTCTGAGACAGCTTGGTGAAGCTTGGTCAGTGAGAGATTGATGTGGCCTTATCAGAGATAATTAGACATTAATTAGCTTTTTCTCAAACTACTTTCCAGGCTGAAAAGTTACAAGAGGAACTCAAGTTACAGAAGCTGGAAGTGACTCAGGAGAAAGATGCGTTAGAGCAGGAGATGTCAAGTCTGAGAACAGAGATCCTCAAGAAAGACGCCCTCCTTCAGGTCCTGCAACAGGAAGTAAGTAGAGTCATCATTATCTACCTGGCCGACTGGTGTCGGTGATCATTCTCTCCACATCTTGAAATCTCCAGTCTTCCTGTGGGTTCTAGGACCCTGTTTTTAGGGGGGGAAATGTACCCATTGCCTCAAGCAAGTTGAAGTTAAGAGGGTTGACCTAATGGCATAGGGTTTTATCCTAAAGTGGCTCGTTCTGTTTCCTCAGAACCACTAGCCATTGTACAAGAGCATCACACAAAGCACTAACTCCTTGTAAGGATGCCCAGGGGTAAAAATTGCACTTATGAACCAGACAATGCAGGTGTGAAATGAGCATGTTGTGAAGGGAGATAATTTAGGAGATTTACTGAGTTAGATGTGTTGGGTCAAAGGGCACAGGTACTGCAGCCTTGCTGTAAACCATACACAGCATACCAACCAGATTTCTGTTTTTCTCTGAAGAAATGGTTGCACCATTTACAAACCAGCAGAAGTCCGGGACAATCACCGTTGTATTTATCCCTGTAGAACTTTTCAACAAATCCAATCTAGTCAATAAAATGTGTTCAGCTGTTTGGCCTAGAGGTTAGTGAACATGTTTAACAATTTCATGATCTTTGAATACAGTGTTTCGATTTTCACAGTGGGTGGTTACTTTTAAAACAAAATGCTCAAGTGGTTTTTGACAGCTGGATGAGAATTGCACCTTGGAAGAGGGTGGAACCTCCCCATATAATATTCCCAACAACCATTATTTGCACTGCAGCCAAGCTTAATTGTGGAGATGACTCATAATTCAAATTAAAAGTAGAATAAATCTGTGTCAGAACCCACTAGACTCAGATACAAATGGGAACTAAAAAACATGGAAGGAGATTTACAGCCAGATGAATAATTCAGTGAGTGAAACATAGGACAAGCTGTAGGGGATGTCAGAGGATAGGAGGACCTATGGGTTGGTGGAGAGACTGTGCAACATTTAGGTGATAGATGGCAAAGGAAGAATAAGAAAACAAGATTTTATTTTTCTGCTCTTTATTGCCCTGATGTAGTCCTCAGCCACCTTATGCCAGTTCGTCCTGTCCTTTGCTATTGCATAAGGCTCACCCCATGTCCTCCCTGTCTTTTTAACTTCACTCTCAAGTTCCATGTGCATAGACATTCTAGTTATATTGTTATCTGGTGGTCTCAGTGTGAGACCTAGCCATGGCCAACGTCTTTTCCTCAGTTCTTGATTCACTGGAATTTGTTTAGGTCTCTCCCAAAACTCTACATTAGTAATTCTGTCACACTATTTAACTCCTTATTTTCTGAACAGGCGCCAGTTAATGACAAGACTGCAATCTCAAACATGTTTAAACTCTCCAGTATCCATTGAATAGTTTATTGATAACTTAGAACACAAGGGCTTGTACTTGCTGATAAAAAACATCTTGTCACATTCAGCCAGCTTCCCGAAAGAGGGAGCTTTCGGTTATAATTTTATCTGTTTTTATTTGTGCCATATGTTATGGCTTAAAATTGTTCGCCACCAAGTAGCTCTCAGAAGGACTCTTGCGCTGTTGATGCGGTGTCCTTAACACTTTCCACCAGCAGTGATGAAGTCATCTAGCGGCCAGCCAGTCACTTGGTCACTGGTGAATGCAAATATGTTGTAATCATTGGACATGGAAACATTATACAACAGCTGCTTACAGTACACAGTTTTACAGTATAGCAACACATTTACAACAACAAAAATAAAAAAGTAAAGAGAAAATACTTACAATATTTAACTTGTGACACACACACTAACCACATACCTTGTTTGAGGTGATTTTAGGGTACTGACGGTGATGTTAGGGTACTGACAGTGATGTCGGGGTACTGACAGTGATGTTGGGGTACTGACAGTGATGCTGGGGTACTGACAGTGATGTTAGGGTACTGACGGTGATGCTGAGGTACTGACAGTGATGCTGAGGTACTGACAGTGATGTTCAGGTACTGACAGTGATGTTTGGATTCTGACAGGGATGTGTGACAGTGATATTTGGGTACTTACAGTGATGCTGGGGTACTGACAGTGATGTTGGGATACTGATAGTGATGTTGAGGTGTAGTGACAGTGATGTTGAGGTACTGACAGTGATGCTGGAGTACTGACAGTGATGCTGGGGTGCTAATAGTGATGTCTGGGTACTGACAGCGATGTTGGGGTACTGACAGTGATGTTGGGGCACTGAAAGTGATGCTGGGGTACTGACGGTGATGTTCAGGTACTGACAGTGATGCTGAGGTACTGACAGTGATGTTAGAGTACTGACAGTGATGTTAGAGTACTGACAGTGATGTTGGGGTACTGAAAGTGATGCTGGGGTACTGACGGTGATGTATGGGTACTGACAGTGATTCTGGGGTACTGACAGTGATGCTGAGGTACTGACAGTGATGTTAGAGTACTGACAGTGATGTTAGAGTACTGACAGTGATGTTGGGGTACTGACAGTGATGTTGGGGTACTTACAGTGATGTTGGGGTACTTAAAGTGATGTTGGGGTACTGACAGTGATGTTGGGTACTGACAGTGATGTTGGGGTACTGACAGTGATGTTGGGGTACTGACAGTGATGTTAGAGTACTGACAGTGATGTTGGGGTACTGAAAGTGATGCTGGGGTACTGACAGTGATGCTGGCGTACTAACTGATGTTGAGGCACTGACAGTGATGTTGGGGTACTGACAGTGATGTTGTGGTACTAACAGTGATGTTTGGGGTATTGACAGTGAGTTTGGGGTACTGACAGTGATGTTGTGGTACTAACAGTGATGTTTGGGGTATTGACAGTGAGTTTGGGGTACTGACAGTGATGTTGAGGTACTGACAGTGATGTTGGGGTACTCTTATATATTTATTTCCAGGGAGACAAGTTCCAGAAGGAATCAACAAAAAAGGCAGAAGAATTGTTATGCAAATCACAAACTGAGGCTGACTTTTTGAAACAGGAGCTGTAAGTTATAGTTTGTCTCTTGCATTGTTTATGTCAGATGTTTCTCCTGAAAGGGGGGGAAACTGGAAAACATTCTGGTGGGGGGAAAGTTTTGGGGGAAAAGAAGAGGGAAACTGAGACGGAAGATGCTGGGTAGTTTGGCACCATTGCATGGAGAATCATCTGTACCAGAAATGATTGAAAGTACATGAGACAGTGTAGTTTGTAAAGTACCAGTTCCATTCTACACAAATGACAGAAAGATCACACACAAATGTCACCACCACATTTGACAAACTATTTTTTACACAAGCACAGATCTAGCTATGTATGTATAGCAGAACTGTAGATTTTGACAAGCTGCTTCTATAGTCACAAATTGAATTAAGTAATAGAACAATATAATGTACAATTTAAAAAAAGAAACAATTTATATTTATTATCTGGCATATTTCACTTTCTTGTGAAAGCAGCATAATGAATCCATTTTGTTTTCTTATTATTGCTGTCCTCCACCTTCTTTTTCTTTTGGTGCTATTATTATTTTTTTGACAGATCTCTATAGTCTTGTCTTAATTTACAAAGAGTTGCAATTAATCAAGATAAATTATTACACATTTTAATAACAGTAAATTGTTCTGGAATTATCTGTGTTTAAGAGATGGGCTGAAGGTATCTTTACAAGAAACAAAGGATGAGCTGGAGTCGAAGAACTCCAAGATCACAGAGCTGCAAACCCAGGTGGAGCTGCACAAGACACTGATACAGGAGAAGGAGGGGGTAAATGCAGTCTGTTATGCTTGACATATATAATCATCATCATCATCTTCATCTTCTTATTTTCTTTTTCTTCTTCTTCTTCTTCTTCTTCTTCTTCTTCTTCTTCTTCTTCTTCTTCTTCTTCTTGTTCTTCTTCTCCTTCTTCTTCTTCCTCTTCTTCTTGTTCTTTTTCTTCTTCCTCTTCTTCTTCTTCTTCTTCCTCTTCTTCTTGTTCTACTTCCTCTTCTTCTTCTTCTCCTCCTCCTCCTCCTCCTCCTTCTCCTCCTCTGGTCCTGTTCTGTATAGTAGCGTCAGTGTTTAAAGAAGCATCAGTTGTGAGTATTAGTGTGTGCTACATAGATGCTGGTATTTACAGCCCCGGATATTCTGTCTATTCATCTGTTGTGCCATTATTTGCCAGATAGGGCTCACAGTTTAATCTGACCTTCTGTGTAGGTCTTAACATCATGCCTTGAATCCAACCCAACACTCATGGCCCCATCAACTTTCATCTTAAGGTTTCTTTTGAATGTCCTTGTTTCCTCAATCCATTTGTTTTCTATTTGCCTTTTTTTTTTCTTTTTTTTTTTTTGCTGATTCTCTGTTTGCTTCTTCTCAGGAGGTGCCCAAACGATCACAATCTTCTTTGTCTTATACCTCATATCTAGCGTTTAACACCAGTGTGTAGTGAAGTCCAGTGGCTACCTCATGTCTAGTGTTTACCATCAGAGTGTAGTGAAGTCCAGTGGCTACCTCATGTCTAGTGTTTAACACCAGTGTGTAGTGAAGTCCAGTGGCTACCTCTTGTCCAGTGTTTAACACCAGTGTGTAGTGAAGTCCAATGGCTACCTCATGTCTAGCGTTTAACACCAGTGTGTAGTGAAGTCCAATCTCTACCTCATGTCTAGTGTTTAACACCAGTGTGTAGTGAAGCCCAGTGGCTACCTCATGTCTAGTGTTTAACACCAGTGTGTAGTGAAGCCCAGTGGCTACCTCATGTCTAGTGTTTAACACCAGTGTGTAGTGAAGCCCAGTGGCTACCTCATGTCTAGTGTTTAACACCAGTGTGTAGTGAAGTCAGTAGCAACCTTATATCTAGTGTTTAACACCAGTGTGTAGTGAAGTCCAATGGCTACCTCATGTCTAGTGTTTAACAGCAGTGTGTAGTGAAGCCCAGTGGCTACCTCATATCTAGTGTTTAACACCAGTGTGAAGTGAAGTCCAATGGCTACCTCATGTCTAGTGTTTAACAGCAGTGTGTAGTGAAGCCCAGTGGCTACCTCATATCTAGTGTTTAACACCAGTGTGTAGTGAAGCCCAGTGGCTACCTCATGTCTAGTGTTTAACACCAGTGTGTAGTGAAGCCCAATGGTTACCTCATGTCTAGTGTTTAACACCAGTGTGTAGTGAAGCCCAGTGGCTACCTCATATCTAGTGTTTAACACCAGTGTGTAGTGAAGTCCAATGGCTACCTCATGTCTAGTGTTTAACACCAGTGTGTAGTGAAGTCCAGTGGCTACCTCATGTCCAGTGTTTAACACCAGTGTGTAGTGAAGCCCAGTGGCTACCTCATGTCTAGTGTTTAACACTAGTGTGTAGTAACGTCCTGTGGCTACCTCATGTCTAGTGTTTAACACCAGTGTGTAGTGAAGTCAGTAGCAACCTTATATCTAGTGTTTAACACCAGTGTGTAGTGAAGTCCAATGGCTACCTCATGTCTAGTGTTTAACAGCAGTGTGTAGTGAAGCCCAGTGGCTACCTCATATCTAGTGTTTAACACCAGTGTGTAGTGAAGTCCAATGGCTACCTCATGTCTAGTGTTTAACACCAGTGTGTAGTGAAGTCCAATGGCTACCTCTTGTCCAGTGTTTAACACCAGTGTGTAGAGAAGCCCAGTGGCTACCTCATGTCTAGTGTTTAACACTAGTGTGTAGTAACGTCCTGTGGCTACCTCATGTCTAGTGTTTAACACTAGTGTGTAGTAACGTCCTGTGGCTACCTCATGTCTAGTGTTTAACACCAGTGTGTAGTGAAGTCAGTAGCAACCTTATATCTAGTGTTTAACACCAGTGTGTAGTGAAGTCCAATGGCTACCTCATGTCTAGTGTTTAACACCAGTGTGTAGTGAAGCCCAGTGGCTACCTCATATCTAGTGTTTAACACCAGTGTGTAGTGAAGTCCAATGGCTACCTCATGTCTAGTGTTTAACACTAGTGTGTAGTGAAGTCCAATGGCTACCTCTTGTCCAGTGTTTAACACCAGTGTGTAGTGAAGCCCAGTGGCTACCTCATGTCTAGTGTTTAACACCAGTGTGTAGTGAAGTCCAATGGCTACCTCATGTCTAGTGTTTAACACTAGTGTGTAGTGAAGTCCAATGGCTACCTCATGTCTAGTGTTTAACACCAGTGTGTAGTGAAGCCCAATGGCTACCTCATGTCTAGTGTTTAACACTAGTGTGTAGTAACGTCCTGTGGCTACCTCATGTCTAGTGTTTAACACCAGTGTGTAGTGAAGTCAGTAGCAACCTTATATCTAGTGTTTAACACCAGTGTGTAGTGAAGTCCAATGGCTACCTCTTGTCCAGTGTTTAACACCAGTGTGTAGTGAAGCCCAGTGGCAACCGCATACGCATGTTACTGGGACCTGCAAGGAATGTTGTAATCTGTACAGATGATGGTGTTTCCTTGTGCTATAGGGAGGCATAGGAAATTGCTGTCTATGGGGATACCAGTCGAGTCCACAGATTTGAAGTCCTTCTTTCCCTGACACAAGCCTGGACTGTGTCTTAGACACACAATGATGCCCTAGCAGCATGATATAAAGGATGTACAGAATAAATAATACAAGACCTACCATATTGTATGACACATAAATATACAAAGGGAAGGACATATAAACATTATATATAATAAACAACCAGAAATATATTGATCAGCACTCATAGAAAATAGATAGATAGAAGGATACACTCATCATCGTCATGAAGCAGGTCCTTTGCAGAACGTTGCTCCCATCACAGTCTGCCTGAAAGAAACTCGGTCTCTTGTCAGCTCTCCCACCTTGTGCACTTTCTATTCAAGGAGTCACTTATATCCTGTGTCCATCTTGGTGTTGGTCTGCCCCTGCCCCATTCTTCCTGGTACCATGCCTTCTGCTACTATTTCTTCAAATCTGCCATAACGCTTGATATGACCACAATATTTCAGCTTCCGAAATTAGCCAATCTTCCTTGATGTTCGGATCTTTTAAAATGTCAGTATTTCTCCTCTTCTTTGTCCATTGTAGTCTGAGACTCTAGCCTTTCATCTCAACGGTTCAGTGTCAAGAGACAAACAAAAATGCTTGGGGTTTCTTAGCAAAAGTTAATGGTCGACATTTGGTGCAGGAGAGCCTAGCATATGATACCACAACATCCAATTTAAGAATGGAGGTGGAGGCGGTCACTGCAGCTTTCCACTGGTTAGTGAACACGACACACAGACACACACATCGTGATTGTAACTGACTCAGGAAAACATGCTGAGGAAGATCAGGACAGACATGCTTAATGAAGAATGGCAAGCCTCACTGTGGAGGAGACGGGTGAGGAGTATTGTCGGGATTTTTTCACTGCACAAATTGGAATATGGATGCGCTATAAGGCAGACATGGTTAGTGCCTTGTGGGAGAGCATGTACAGTTCGGAGGAGCAGATGGATCACTACAGTCTGGTGAGATTGATGCAGGAGGGAATGACGAGAGGTTCTTGCGGATGCTTGAGGCTCAGAGGAAAGACAAGACGGACGTTTGATCAAAATGCTTCTGGCACCATTAGTATCATAACTCTTCGCTGGCTGCTGAAGATGGGGAGAGACACTTATGGGAATGCCCTGCGTGCTGTAATACCTGTTCTTGATTCAAATAAAATAAAATCAACTCAAAAGAAGGACAAACTAGACAATGTAAAAATCAAAAGCTGTTGTTACCTTGAGGTGACAGGTTCGATTCTCAGTATGTTAACTGTAGCTTTCGATAATTATGTTGTCTTGTGTGTCTTTCTGTTTTTCAACTTCTTTCTGTGAGTGCTAATCAATACATTGTCTGGTTGTTTATAATATATAATGCATACTGTATGAACTAACTCTCGTTCATTAAAAAATTGTGGCTGTAAAATTCATGTCAGTAGATAATGTGATCATTTCTTGACCATAGCTTCATGTCAGTAGATAATGTGATCATTTCTTGACCATAGCTTCATGTCAGTAGATAATGTAATCATTTCTTGACCATAGCTTCGTGTCAGTAGATAATGGGATCATTTCTTGACCATAGCTTCATGTCAGTAGATAATGTGTGATCATTTCTTGACCATGGCTTCATCTCAGTAGATAATGTGATCATTTTTTGACCATGGCTTCATGTCAGTAGATAATGTGATCATTTCTTGACCATAGCTTCATGTCAGTAGATAATGTGTGATCATTTCTTGACCATGGCTTCATCTCAGTAGATAATGTGATCATTTTTTGACCATAGCTTCATGTCAGTAGATAATGTGATCATTTCTTTGCCATGGCTTCATGTCAGTAGATAATGTGATCATTTCTTGACCATAGCTTCATGTCAGTAGATAATGTGATCATTTCTTGACCATAGTTTTAATCAGAAGACAGAATTACCATTTTTGCCTCTCTCTGTTTCTTAGCTTTTAAATGAGAAAGTACAGCTTGTGAAAGAGAAAGAAGCAACAGAAGAAAAGTGAGTATAATTGTTCTAGTCTGCTTGAATTGTGATGCACTCTAAAAGTCACAGCTGAATCAGATTTTAAAGAAATTCAGTTAGGAAGGCAGCATATGGTCACCCAACCTTTTTTTTTTTTTTGCACAAAAAATATGCCTCTGCATTTTCCACCTTGAGTAGCCCCACGTTAGCATAGACCAGTGGACACTGTATGTGTAGAGTGGTCATTAGTTAGTTAGTCTTTCCTCTTGTGTCGAGTGCGGCACATAGGGCAGAGGTCATGACTCTCCATGCACGGCGGTTCGTTGCAATCTGTTGTTGGTCTTGGATGTTTGAGTGGCCCATGAGTGAGCCTTCCCTGATGATAGTTCTACATAGAGTTTCCCTTGGTCTTCCACAAGATCTTTTCCCCTGTGGTGTCCAAATGAGGGCTTGGTAAGAGTGGTCATTGATGTGACTTTATTTCTCAGACATTTTTCTATGTACATACGTTTAGGAATTTGTGTGTGAATGTATATATGTACTTACAAGTGTATGAATTATCTGTACCATGAAAACAGATTCTACAATCACAAATGACAAGTGAAAGCTGCAGCTAGAAAGTGTTCATCAGCACATCACATGAATAGACAGTATTACATTTACAAAGAAGAATACATAAAGTCACTTAACTGACATCACTCCAAGACATAACCATATGTCTGGCCATTTGAAGCTATGAGACATGTGTGAACACAGTAAATGTATACTAGGTAGAAAGGTATGGTAGGCAATTTTCATCAATAAAACAAAAACTATTTGTGTTGGACGTTATGACCCTTAGGCGAGTGAGAGCCCAGTAGTTAGAAAAGATGGTTCTCAAGAAACTTTCAGACACTGGAGTGCCTAGACTTTGTGGCCATAAGCTCCATGTCAAAGACACCACCGCGACCATGAGAAGTGAACTGCATTGACACTGGTTGGAGGGCACCCTTCTGCACATCTGAAAGATGTATGTGTGAATCTTTTAATGTATGTAGTATGTATGTACATATGCTTGCATCATTGTGTTTCTGATGAGAAACTGACAAGTAACACTCTCAGCATTATAACCTTTTGATGGCGGACTCTACAAGTTAAATAATATATAAATGTGTTCTTTGTATTAACCTCTTTACGCCGTTGTGCATTTCTATCTTTTTTCCCCCTTGCCTTTCTCCCTACGCCTGGAGTGATTGTGTGTGGGAACCACACACAACTAACCATGTTGTATTTCTGGTAAGATTCACTTTCACCATGCCCCAGATAGTCCTAGACATTGGGTGTGGTTTGCTTTTTATGCCTGCTTGTTTTCTATTGGTGCCTGCTTGTGTATTGATGTAGATCAAGGGCTGTTCAACTAAGTTTACTAAGTGGCCGCAATTTTGAAAATGGGGATCGTCACGGGCTAAAAGCCTGCCCTAGAATAGATGATCGTTAATATAATGCAACTGGCAATGATTCGCGTGCCACTTGCTAGGTCAGCAGTTGAATAGCCCTGATTGAAGTAGTCTAGCTGTAGCTTGAGTAACTTGTTGTATGATGTACTGTCAGATTGAGGAAGTCTAGCTGTAGCTTGAGTAACTTGTTGTATGATGTACTGTCAGATTGAGGAAGTCTAGCTGTAGCTTGAGTAACTTGTTGTATGATGTACTGTCAGATTGAGGAAGTCTAGCTGTAGCTTGAGTAACTTGTTGTATGATGTACTGTCAGATTGAGGAAGTCTAGCTGTAGCTTGAGTAACTTGTTGTATGATGTACTGTCAGATTGAGGAAGTCTAGCTGTAGCTTGAGTAACTTGTTGTATGATGTACTGTCAGATTGAGGAAGTCTAGCTGTAGCTTGAGTAACTTGTTGTATGATGTACTGTCAGATTGAGGAAGTCTAGCTGTAGCTTGAGTAACTTGTTGTGTGATGTACTGTCAGATTGAGGAAGCCTAGCTGTAGCTTGAGTAACTTGTTGTATGATGTACTGTCAGATTGAGGAAGCCTAGCTGTAGCTTGAGTAACTTGTATGATGTACTGTCAGATTGAGGAAGTCTAGCTGTAGCTTGAGTAACTTGTTGTATGATGTACTGTCAGATTGAGCAAGTCTAGCTGTAGCTTGAGTAACTTGTTGTATGATGTACTGTCAGATTGAGGAAGTCTAGCTGTAGCTTGAGTAACTTGTTGTATGATGTACTGTCAAGTATACTTCCCTTTAGCTGGTGTAGATTTGATGGTTGTGGCCATTGGGATGGGGGTGGGGGGCACACAATGGCAAAAATATGTTTTTAAAATAAAAAACATGCTGTTCTTCCATGTGTCACCTAATGTAGATTTATGTTATTGTAGAGTAGATCTGTTGGATATATATATATATATATATATATATATATATATATATACCTAATGTCGATTTATGTTGTTGAAGAGTAGATCTATTGGATATATCCATGTGTTACCTAATATATATTTTTATTGTTGTAGAGTAGATCTATTGGATATATCCATGTGTTACCTAATATATAGATTTATATTGTTGTAGAGTAGATCTATTGGATATATCCATGTGTTACCTAAAATATAGATTTATATTGTAGAGTAGATCTATTGGATATATCCATGGGTTACCTAATATAGATTTATATTGTTGTAGAGTAGATCTATTGGATATATCCATGTGTTACCTGGTGTAGATTTATATTATATATCCAAATGGTAACTTCTTCTTCTTTGCGTTCACCGGCTGTTAACTCTGGTGGAAAGTTCTGGTTGTTCGTCCACTTCTGGACTGCAGTCCTGTTTCAAAACCTGAGTGTTTTGTGCGCAGACTGTTGGTTCCTTGCCTCTCAGGCAGATGCACTCCGACTTTGAAGGAAGCTCCTGATTAGTCGACTCTTACGACATGCTTTTGGGTAGGCAGTGGGTCAGTTCTTGTTTTCCCTATAATAGGGCCCTGGAACCCAAATGGTAACTAATGTAGATTTATGAAGTCAAGTGTAGATTTGCTAGAAATACCTGTCAGGTACCAATTGTACCATATCATACTATATAAATCTGTATATGGTTGTGGAGTTTACTTGGTTTATCGATTCATACCTAATGTAGATTTGTATGGTTGTTGATAGATCTGCTTAATATATCTATATGGTACCTAATGAAGATTTATATCGATTAGTTTGATAGATCCATGTGGTAATTGTAGATTTCTGTGGTTGTAAAAGGTAGATGTAGATGATATATTTGAGTTATCAAGAGCTTGTGGCTGAAACACTTTCTCCCATTACCCCCTTATGTTTATAAAAATTACTGAAGATTTAACAGCTGTAGTTTATATATATATATATATCTTCTTTTTTTCTTTTATTTATCCTAAGAACTGCAGTTATTTCAACTGTAAGTTGTTTGTAATTTGTCTTAAATATATTTACTTCTTAGGTATATTTCCTTTGCTTAGCGTTTATTTAGAGTGCATTTTAAGTTCTGTGTAGTTTTTACAGATAATTGTGTGATGTTTTCAAAATATGTTTGGTTATTATAGATAATTATGGAAAGTAATCCTACAGACTGTAAATCTGAAAAAGAAAAACTATAAATAATAAATTAAAATCGTATCCTTGTGAACTGAATGACTAGTGCAAAAATGGAACCTGATACCTTCAGAGCATGAAACACAAGCTTGACATAATTGCCAGGGATATACCCCTTCCTCCCCCCCTGAACCAATAGGTTGCTTTACTAATTATGTTTGTGTTAGCTAGTTAGCTGCAGTTCCGACTTTACGGCAAATGGATCACTGCCATTATTACTCTGCCCCTGTGCCAGCTGAAACCACTATTACTGTCCTAGGGCGGGGTGAAAACAGACAGGGCAGTCTCGGCAAAGCCAGCACACTACACATTTGTGTCTGTTGTTTAGAACCTGCATAGCTTTTTGTACATGTGATCTCCTTTACTGATCATCATTTCTCTCTCTGCTGTCCTTCTGCACATTCCCTGGTCATCCACATCTCCTTTTTCCATCCATCACCCGTCTGTAGTTTATGTATCTATGTAGGCTCAGATCAGTAATGGTAAAATTATTATGCTTTGTCAGATCCAGGCAGATTAAAACGTGAGCTCTCTACACATTGCTGGTGAAGGAATGAAATAGTGAAATAATCTGTTAATATTATTATGAGGTTGGTGCCTCAGTGGCTAGAATGCTGAGTGGTCATCCGGTAGACCTGGGTTCCAATCTTCGGTAAAATGATGTAAATGTTTTTCTGTTGAGGGCAGACGTAAAGAGCCTAACCGGCACATTTGGTTGCGTCTATACTAGCCTTTTGGCACTAAATCTTCAAGCTCACGACCCCCATGTCAAACACTGCCCTAAAAAATGGTACTGTGTGCAGTAATGACAGATTTTCTTATGTTTGTTATTAAGATTATTATTGTTATGAATATTCACAGATGCAGAAGCTTGGCTGAGAACATCCAGAAGCAAATAGACAAGGTGAGCACATAAGTGTACAGTTGATTTGTGAGATGTGTCTAAGTGACACAAACATTTATATCTACATTTTTTAACTTTTTTTTTTCACTATCTGCAAGCCACTTTAATAGTCCACTTTTCAGATCCATGGTGTAGTCCTTAAGAGTTTGTTGCTGGTGTGTTACACTTCCCCCAAAGCTGGCAAGTAATTGTGATACTGTAACCTCCTGTGCGTGTCTAGGAGGGGACTGAGGAGGGCTGGCATGAGAGACTCATGACTCTTGGCAGGGGAATGGTGCCTTCTGAGAGAGAGAAAATAGAAACATGACTCTTGGCAGGGGAATGGTGCCTTCTGAGAGAGAGAAAATAGAAACATGACTTTGATAGATGGCAGCTCTGAAAAGAATGATGTCATTATGTTAACTGATGGCTTTTTGTGTGTCTGTTTATCTGTCTCTGACTCTATTGCTATTTGACTTTCTATTTGTCTTAAGTGCCTACTATGTACCCGTATTTCGGTCTGATGCATAAATGGGGGGGGGGGGGGGGGGGAGGTGTAGGGGGATAAATAAATGAAATAATGTACGAAAGGAGAGAAGAAAGAAGGGTATAATTGTATAAAAGCCTCTATCCTCAATTCTTACCCTTTTAAAAAAATGCTATATGTCTATCTATCTATCTACTTATCCATCTATCTCTCCATTCATGTATCCATATATCCATCCATCCATTAGCCCTTTTTCTATACACTTCTAGGCAGCAGACCTGGAGCTGGAAGTTCAAACTTTAAAATCTTCAGAGGCAGCATTAAGAAAGGACAGGTCAGCACTGGAAGGAAGGATTGGCCAGCTGCAGACAGAACTGGACACTGCACGACAGGAAGTAGAAGAGGCCATGTTCACGGATGCTCCAGAGTCACCCACCCAACTAGGTAGGTGACCAAGTTGTGCAGTTTAACCAAATATGAAACACAGAAAAATGTTTGCCGGTATGTGTTTTTTTTTTTTTTTCCTCCTAACATTTGTTATTTTAACTTCTTCTGAATTCACCTTTAAAATTAAATTGGTATACTGGGTTGTGGTTTACAGCTGGGCTGTGATATCTGCACATTTTGGCTCCCAAATATCCAATTACACTTAATTAGTAGCCTTGTGTGACATTTATCAAGGTGCAGTGGATTTGCCCTTCCACCACCTTCCCCTTATTTGTACCCCCAGAACCCATATGGGGACATGGACTTTAACTTGATCTATTCTTAGAAGTTCTACTTGAAAATGTTAACTGTTTGGGTCTGAATTAGCTGCACAAGAGCCTATATGAGACAGAATGAGTGTTTTGATAGTCTGAGAGGTATGTATTAAATAAATACAAAACTGATAGAAAGCACAGACTTGAGTATCATGGGGTATATAAAAGCCACATGAAGCCATGGAAATAAGTTTGTGGACTTATAGGGATCAGTATAGTCTGCAAGATCACATTGAGCTGTACAGTAGCACTTCATAACGGGTGTCTGCCACATGATGAGCTGTGAAATTTATCAAGCCAGGAGAACCCTTGACACGCAATAAGAATTGAAAAAGTTTTGGCAGAGCAATTAGTTGTTGTTGTACACACCTCATGCTGGCCATAACCACATTTCTCCTGCACCGCGACAACTAGGGACTCATCCGGGATGAACATAGAATAAAATAACAGTACAAAAACAGTGAGTTAATGTAGCAGTTATCTGTTGTAGAAGAATGCAAGAACTAAATGTTGTCTTTGGAGTGACCAAGATATTGTTTGGTACTCAAAGAGTTAATTACACCTTTTTATGATTTAGTATTCAGAACCATGAGGGCAGTAACAGTTTGTTGAGCTATCTGTCTCTGTAGTGCTCTTGGTTTAATCCTCAGCACTATTATTATTTTTGCTTTCAAAACCTTAATGGCTATGGAATTGAACCAGCCTCTCTGTACAGGTGGTGATGTTTTTCTTCCTTACAGACAGGGTAATATTTAGGATGTATACTGCCCAATAAATTGTGGAAATATTTACTTCAGTTTTAAACTGCATTGAAGTATTAACTTAACTAAATACACAACAGATAAAACATGTACAAGGTATGGTCCTAACAGAGCAGTTATGCACAGTACAAAATAAAACTTTCATAAAAGCAATAAAGATATTGATATTTTATAAACTAATAGTTATATTTTGCCGCCACCAGAGTTTTGCCATCCGGTGCAATTGCACATAGCCTAATTACGACATTGCTTACAGATGATTTGCTTTTCCTTGCAGGTGATGTTTTTTCCTTACAGATGTATGTTTTCTTATAAATGTCATGTTATGTTTTTCCTTACAGATGTATTTGTTCTTATATATATCATGTTATGTTTTTCCTTACAGATGATGTTGTGTACACAAATTTGAAAGAAGAAGCCAACGCAGCCAAGGGACAAGTGGATTTCCTGAACTCCGTCATAGTAGAACTTCAGAGCAAGAACCAGGAGCTAATGCACAGACTTTCAGTGATGGAGGATTCTGGAATTCACACCAATGGGGAATTCAGTGAACCTGTCGAGTGAGTGGAGACAGTTTTTTTTTGTTGGTTTTCACTCATTTTACTTCAAGAAATGTCCATCGTATAAATATATAACTGTTTATACTGTCACATACTTCTTCTTCTGTTTAGTGTTCACTGGCTGTTAATTCTATAGAAAAAATCTGGTGGTTTGTCTACTTCTGACCTTTGGTCTTGTTTGAGAACTTGAGTTTTGCTTGTACATCAATTTTACAGATCTGACTCATTTGTATGCAGACTGTTGGTTCCTAGCCTGTCAGGCAGATGCATTTCAGCTTCAAAGGAAACACTCTAATTAGTCAGTCAGAGGCAGTGGGTCTGTTTCTTTTTAGCCCCAAAATGGGTCCCAGAACCCACACATGGATATTATAACATACAGAAATATATGTATTGTCACATGCAGGAGTGCATGTATTGTCATATGTATGTTCACATCGTTGCAAGTGGGCTGCATAGGCACAGCATGGTCTCTACAATACTGCCCGATGATTTTTGCTACGGAGAGGAGGAACTTCATCCCTGACCTCAAGATTTTTCTGAACGCCACCAGGTCTTGCTAGTCATGCTCACCATCACCATGAATGTTGATTCCCCGTGCCTCATTATCCTAGATTCTTCCAGGCCTGTACTGGACTTATAAGTCACCTCCAGACTTACAGACAATCAACTCAAGTTTTCTCAATAAAAAGAGACACAGAAAACCTTGAAAGAATCAGAAGTATCACGATGGAGAAAATAGGTCAAACAGATCCAGCAGAAGATGAGATCTAAGCCTCAGACATAGCAAGTGACTTGGAAATAAAAGTAGACGACGGCCAGGTGGAAAGCAGCCCAACCAAACCAAAATACCTTCCTCCGGCTTCTGCCAGTGGGAAACAAGCCAGAAGACAAGACGATTCAGAGGTATAGTCCTTATCAGGATTAGGCTCTTACCAGGGCAGCGCCAAAGAAAGAAACATCAGACACACCCTCAAGCAGCAGACGGAAGAGAGGCAGACACCTGAGAGCCTCTCAGACAATAATAGTGAAATTTGAACAAATCACCTGTGAGAAGATGAGTCAGATCAACTGCAGCTTTCATGTAGACATCAAAGGAAGAAACAACATCAAACACCATAATTATAACCTTCAAATACAGGTTGAACAGGGTCAACTGATAGGGCAAAGCACACAAAAAGGATAAAAAGTGTTACTCATTAGTCATGATGGACGGTGATTCTCCTGCCTCCCCTTAGCACAGTATAACACTATCATATGAAAAGATGCAAAGGTCTTTGTACGTCTTACATAAAAATATTTGTAATATCATGTACACAATAAATAGAGTATCGTAAATATTACTGTTGTCACAGACAATATTCTTGGCTGAAATCATGTGCACCTCTTGTTCTCCTTAAGGACACCGACACGCAGCAGAGCACCACCACGCCTATTCTGTGACATCTGTGACGTGTTTGACCTCCATGACACAGAGGACTGTCCTCAGCAAGCCATGTCCAGCAGTCCTGAGCCCAGCCGTCACCATGGTGACCCCAAAAACACACGACCCTACTGCAACATCTGTGAAGGTCAGACTCATCTTGTATTGTGTTCCTCATCTTCTTTCAGGCTGCCAGACTACAAAGTCAACTATTTTAACAGGCAGAGATATATATATATATTGCTATTGGGATGTTAATTTATAGTCATTCACATATTCTAGGTTAAGGTTTATGAGATGGAGTGACCAGGTCTCTTTCTCGTCCTATTTCCTTTCTACTTCTTATTCTTTCCTTTCACCGCCTGTAAACTCTGGTGGAAAGTTCTGGTTGTTTGTCCACTTCTGGACTTTGATCTTGTTCCAATACTTGAGTTTTTGTTTGCACATCCATTTTACAGATCTGTTTGCAGACTGTTAGTTCACTTTTTTTGCAGATGCACTTCAGGGCCCCCCACTGTCTGTCGCTTTCTCATTCACTCCCCTCCCCCCACCCCTTTTTTTCCCAGACAAAGAAACAAACCCAAACATAATTAAAGCTTTTAAAAAATAATATTGCTTCTGCTTGGCTATTGATCCTGCACTGCTATATATTTGCAGGGAAAATCCTTTACCACTATGCCACCATAGCTCCTAGCTGTTCTAAGTTCTATTTGCAGCCTTTGGGAGAGGTGGGGCCTCCTTTGTCTTAATATCAGGGTCCTTGTCTTTATGTTGTAATACTTATTTTCTGCCGCCATCCTTGATTTTATTTCAGAATGACCTTTTTTTTACAAATTTTTTTTCGAATTACAGCTGATAACTATGTTTCTTCCTCTGATTTTTAAATACTTTTCCCTAATTTGTAAAGAAAAAAAAATGTTTCACTAAATTAGTTCCGGGGCCCTATTTTAGGGAAGCAAATAATCATGGCATGGTGCAGTAATCAGAAAATCATAAAAGGTGACATTTTAACATGTTGCTGAATTAGAATGTGTTTGGCTGAAAGGTGCAGATATGACAGCACTTGTATGCACAAAGTGTCAACTGCCCTTTTAAGGATGGATACAGAAGAAGAAGAAGAAGAAGACACGTTTGTCTATGTTTGAACACTTTTTATTAATGTGTAAACACTTTTCTCTAATGTTTCGACAAATTTGTCTCATCTACAGTTTTTGGACACTCGACAGAACAGTGCGATGATGAGCAAACATTTTAACCCATCGTCTAACCATGACCCTCTGCGTCTGGTAGTTGACTTCAACATTCAGATCAGCGACTGGAAAATCTCTTACATCGGAGCTTCACTTAAACCATATTGACTGCAATCGTGACTTTTTTCTCTTCACTACGATGTCCAGCCCACCGCCTTCCTTGTTAGCAGTTTGCTGTAGTTGGGATGGGGAGTAGATGGCAGTTGGTAGCATGAGTGTTTATTTTAGTGTCTGACACAGGCATGTACACATACAAATGTTTGGACACACACACAGTCGTGTACACAGACATGCATACTTGTACATACATACACATGCATCCACATACATACATACATAATTGTAAACACAAACAGATGTACACACACACACATGCACACACACATTTACATGTACCTACATGCAAATGTTGACTTCTATGGCTAAGGCATTGTGAGCCCGCTTCCTGCTTCTGTTGTGCAGGGTTTGATCCCAGCAGGGAACAGTTTGGCAGCAAGCTGCCTTTCGTTGGTTATAACAGTGGTATTGATAGTTGACCATTCAGGAGGCAGTGGCAAACTACTGAACATAAAATTACCTAATAGTCACAAAATGCTGGGAGTTGGTTTTTCAAATTTATGTTTAAAAAAACAGTGCAAACTAATATATATTTTTTAACGTACATGTATGTATGCACATACATACACATATACACACACGTGCATACATACATTCACATAATATATGTACGTACGTACGTACGTACATACATACAACGTACATACATACATACATATGCATACACTCACTTATGTATATAAAATGTATGTATATGTTGTAGGTATTTACATACACACACATACATTCATATTGCATACATACATTCACATACATACATACATACATACATACATACATACATACATACATACATACATACATACACACACACATACGTACAAACATACATATGTACATATATACATATGTAAATACATACATATGTACATACATACATACATATGCAAACACTCACTTATGTATATAAAATGTATGTATATGTTGTAGGTATTTACACTGGTGTATACGTAGATAAAATATGTTGTATAAATCAGTGGACGTTTATAAGAGAAAGATATCCTGCCCTGAGGGGACAGGGGTCAGTCGTTTGGTTGTGTAGATGACTGGGTGGTGATTGCTGCTACTGCCATCAGTATCTGACCGGAGAAAGGGGGGACAGGGGTCAGTCGTTTGGTTGTGTAGATGACTGGGTGGTGATTGCTGCTACTGTCATCAGTATCTGACCGGAGAAAGGGGGGACAGGGGTCAGTCGTTTGGTTGTGTAGATGACTGGGTGGTGATTGCTGCTACTGTCATCAGTATCTGACCGGAGAAAGAGGGGGCGTGGTTTCTGAGATACATGTTGCATATACCAAGTATAGTCAATGCAACTAACAATGATGGCCTGGGAAAGCTTCAATAAAGATAAAATATTGCATGCAGTTGAATTATTTTTGAAACATTAAAATTCATAATACGCTTTTGTAAACCATACTGAAGGGAAAGGTCGAGTGCAAGAGGTAGACTACGTTAAAACTGGGAAGACAACACCAGGAGATGGATAAACAGCAGTCTGAGATAGTGGATAACCAGGACAAGAGACAGAGGGTGTTGGAGATATGTTGCAGTCAACCTTCAATATGAAGATGGCACCAGATTGATTGACATAACATGCAACTTTAAATGAGAATTAAACACTCATTGTTCGTATGATTAGATCAGAAGTAAAGGAAAATTCCAAACAGGACAGATCACAGGAGAAGTCCCAGACAGAGAGAATAAGTTATGAGTTGGATCCCTAGATGCTGGGAGTCCCCCTAGAGGCTGAGAGTCCCCCTAGAGGCTGGGAGTCCCCCTAGAGGCTGGGAGTCCCCCTAGAGGCTGGGAGTCCCCCTAGAGGCTGGGAGTCCCCCTAGAGGCTGAGAGTCCCCCTAGAGGCTGAGAGTCCCCCTAGAGGCTGAGAGTCCCCCTAGATGCTGGGAGTCCCCCTAGAGGCTGAGAGTCCCCCTAGAGGCTGAGAGTCCCCCTAGAGGCTGAGAGTCCCCCTAGAGGCTGAGAGTCCCCCTAGATGCTGGGAGTCCCCCTAGAGGCTGGGAGTCCCCCTAGAGGCTGAGAGTCCCCCTAGAGGCTGAGAGTACCCCTAGAGGCTGGGAGTCCCCCTAGAGGCTGGGAGTCCCCCTAGATGCTGGGAGTCCCCCTTCAGCAGGTTCTGCAGTAATTTGTGGCAGTTCTCTGCTGGTTGACAAGACTTCTCATGTGTTGGTGTGCCTCTTATGCCTGGCTGTGCCTTTCTTTTACTCTTAATTCTCGCATTCTTATCAGTGTGTGGGTACGCTACTTACCAAGATCCTCAGGTGGTCCTCTCTCTAGGGACATTACAGTATCTGCACGACCCATAGGCTGGCTATCTGCTGCAGCTGAAAGAAATGATGCTGAATGGTCTTATCATAAAAAGGAATGAGATCTATGAAGAGAATAGATATATATGGCATCGGTCAAGGCACATGATGATAATGAGTGCACATCACAAGAATGAATTCTGTGAAATGATGTAAATGTAGATGGCATCCAACAGAGCACATCAAGATGGGTGCACCGGAACATATATATGTTGTTTATAGACATCACATAGACTAAGCCAGACAGAAAAAAATTACTATTCCTTGAAATGTTTGTTAAAAATTTAGGCAACTCAGATATAGAGATGACATTTATAGATGGCCAGATTGATGATCACACCTAATAATCATGTCATTCATTTCAAGATCACCTTCCTTGAACATCAGGCACACGCATGAGTGCCCAGATCTCCTAAACATATTTTCTCAATATGTTTACGCTGGCAGCTCCCCACTTCTGTATTGGTTGACGTAGCCACTGCGAGGTCTTGCATGTTTTTCAAGTCCCGCTGCTTCAGTTGGCATTAGACTGGATAAGTCAGAGAGACTTTATTGTCCTCATGTTTTAAATCGTCAGCATGTGGTCTATTTCCTGCATACAAGGTCCATTTTCTGAGGCAATTTTGCCTGCATCCCCTGTCATCTGACTGTTAGTCAAAGCAAAGAGGGAAGGATGAAATTCAGACACCGAAAGAGAAGAGGCAAGAAGTAGCAGCAACATAAATAAATGTAAAAAAAGCGGATGACTGGGCGTAGAATTTAGTTATTGTACGAATGTTGTTTTGTATCAGCAGAGCTTAAGAGTCTGAGAGTCCAAGTACTCAGAAGTTGGTTCATTTTTTACCTCGTTTTTGTTTTACTTCTGCTGTTGTTGCTTCGGCTGACAATTCCCCTTTTGTATCCAACATTTCCGTATTCTGCTCATTCAGCCAAATTTGTTGGCTAAACATGTTTTCTAGTCTCATAAAACATTTCCATTGTTTTCTGCTCACTATATTTAAGACAAACAGGCATATAATGTCAGCACAATGCCAGAGTCACCTGAGAACAATTTTGGGGGATTGTTGTCTGTGCATTGTCAGGGCTGTTATTTGTCATTGTGCAGTATAGATAACAGTAACACTGTTCTAGAGTCAGAGATTGAGGGCAAGAGATAGACAATAATACAAGTGAGGGGACATCATCAAGGGGACAAACAGCACTCTGAGCGTACAGCAAGACAACAAACAGAGCATGTTAGAGATCATTGCAGCAAGCTTCATTGTGGAGACGGCACCTGATTGAATACGCCAAAAGCACACATGTGAATTACTGCTTCAAATAGAAGTATTACTTTTCACGTAACTACACAACTTTCATTTGCCACAACGTGGTTTTTCAGAGAATCTCAGTGTTCGGACACAATTTTCTAGAAACAAGGTTTTAGCACTTGAGTGACTCTGGCGGGGTACCAACGATATATGTCAGTCACAAATCTCTAATGTGTATAAAAGATAATAGGACACCGCCAAAATATTGCAGAATTTATTGCCTGGCATATTTTGCTATGTCCGACCAGGGGCATCACTTCAAAGTTGTTCCTGTACGAGGTAGAAACGGCTGAATGAACAGCTACCAGTGCTGGGTTCTCGTGCGAGAGACCCCGGTACCAATCCTCTTAATTGTTTGGGAGGGGAGTAACGTCCAAACCTGCACAGTCTGTAGCAACTAGCAATAGCCATGCGGCTCTGAAGTTTCAGGCACAGAGATCCACCCCTACCTACACTCAAAACTGGCAAATATAGACAGTAATAAGTTGGGTGGGGTTTTTGTTGTTGTTGGTTAAATGGTTACACCAACGTATAATGAATCATAAATACTTTCAATTCCAAATTAGATCCCTTGAGATATGTCATCTTTGCAGTTATCCACCTGACAACTAAATATGCCAGGCAGTACAGTTTTGTTACATCAGTCGTGTCCTTGATTTTTAAATTGATGACTTCGTGATTTTTGTGGTGAAATTTGTTTTTATTGTGTGACACGACTGTCATAGGATGCGAACGCTTCGTAATGCTGGGATGCTGGGTTCGATCCCAGCTGCATCCATGCGCCTTGCGTTGGTTTCGACAGTGGTATTAAGAAAGCTGACCGTCCAGAAAGCAGTGGCAAACTACCGGATGTAAATTTGACTAGAAAAACCACACAACAGCCGGAAGCTGTTAGAGTTGGTTCTGCAACGTCCTGTAAAGGATACGCAACTAACCTACTGTCATAGTGTCTCAACTTTCATAGTGTGACTCAACTGTCATAGTGCCACTCCACTTTCAGTGGATGTGACGATTCACCCTTCAAGGTGTGACTTGACATTTATGGCTTGACTTTCCTGCTGTGACTTGTCTTTTTATAGTGACCTGAATATGTTGAGACTGAGATGTGACATTTATGAGGAGGCTTCACATTCACCATGGAATTTCATTGTTGCAAGAATCAATATTCACAATGAGACTTCACTCTCGTGATGAAGATACTTCTGTGATGGAGCTTAATGTTTGTGATGAAATATAATGCTTAAACTTAACTTTTAT